TACAAAATAAGCTCAAGGTCAGTCTGAACTGCACAGTGGAATCTTATCAAAAAGACAAAAATAAAGGCCAGGGAGATAGTTCAGCAGAATAAGTGCTTGCCTGGCAAGTGCAAGGGCCTGAGTTCAATCCCCAGTACCGCAAAAAAAAACAAAAAAAGACTAAAAGAAAATAAATCATGACAAGTTCCCATTGAATTCCTGTTTCCCAGGCTGCGTGTGAGCTTGCTCTCCTCCTGCCCCTGCTCCCAGGGCTGGGCCCGCAGGTGTGCGTCACCATGCCTGACCTTCCCCCTCTTTGCTTGGCTCCTACAGGCGGGCAAGACCTGGATCTCCAGGGGCTGCACCCAGAGCTGCACCTGCTCTGATGGAACCATTCAGTGCCGGGCCTTCCACTGTCCTCCTGGGTCCCACTGCCAGGACAACGAGGATGGGAACAGCAACTGTGCCCCCAATAGTAGGAAGCTGGCTGGGGGAGGTGGCCAGCAGGGACTCAGCCTGGCTTTGAACTGGGGCTCACACCAACCACAGCCTCATTCAAGATACCGAGCCTCTGGTGTACCCTACCTTAAACACAAAAAGGGACAGGATGAGAAGATCCAAAGTGGGGGGTTGGTGGGGTGTGGAGAGGGAGAAAGTTGAAGAGCAGGTATGCAGGAGCTGGGCTTACACAAAGGGACAGGAGGCACTGCACTGGTGACAGATTCTGGAGGTGCATATCTGGCACGAGGCCTACTCTGTGCTCCCCTTCTTGGCAGGGTCCCGACACTGCTCCATCTTTGGGGACCCGCATTACCGCACATTTGACAGCCGCAGCTACCGCTTCCAGGGCCGCATGACCTACATCCTGGTAAAGACAGTGGACATGCTCCCGGATGGCATGCAGCACCTTGTCGTGGAGGGGCGCAACAAGATGTACTCACCTGTGAGCTCCATCCTCCTGCACGAAGTGATCACCATTGTCTATGGCTACAAAGTTCAGTTCCAGAAGGATCTGGTGCTTCTGGTTCGTAAGAGGCAGCTTGGGGCCAGGTGTGGTGGTGCAGGGTCTTCAATCCCAGCATTCTGGAAGGCTGAGGCAGGAGGAACCCAAGTTCAAATCTCACCTGGGCAATGGAATGATTTCAAAATAGAAAAATTAAAAAAAAAAAAAAAACAGGCTGAGGATGTAGCTTATTGTGAGGGTGCTGGGTTCAATCCTCAATCCACTCCCCAAAAGCAAAAATCTCCCCAAAAAGCAGGTAGGGAGGGAGAAGTAGGCAAAGCCAGGCAATCAATCCAGCAGCTCCTGGGCTCCCTCTCCAGGTTAACAGCCAGAAGATGGCTGTGCCCTACAGGCCCAACGAGCACCTGAGGGTCACCCTGCGAGGCCAGCGGCTATATCTGATCACAGACTTTGAGCTGGTGGTCAGCTTTGATGGAAGGAGCAGCACAGGTACCTGCGAGAGGGGCAGAGTGAACAAGAGGCTTGTTTGTGGGGTGGGGAGGCAGAGGTGCCCTCACACAGGCCAAGTGTGGGGAGCAGAGCCCTGCCTGGCTATGGGGTCCCTAGGTCAAGAGGAGCTCACTCAGGGGACCCCCTTTCTCCCATAGTGATCTCTCTGCCCAGCATGTACCAGAAGTTGGTGCGTGGCCTGTGCGGGGACTATGATGGGGACCGCAGGAACGACTTCATGCTGCCCAGTGGAGCGCTGACCCATAGCATCAGTGTCTTTGGCAAAAGCTGGGAGGTGAAGAGCCAGGACGGCCTCCTCCGCTTCCGGAGGTGAGGAAGGGGCTGGAAGGCCTTGAGAGACCACAGCTGCCCCCTGACCCATGCCCTTGGCCTTTCTCTCCATGTTCACCACCCACCTGCACCTGGCTTCTCTGCTACAGGGCCCTCCAGGAAGAGCAGGAAGAGGACAAAGAGGACGACTCAGACTCTCAGGCAGGGTCCCTGTGCAGCCCACAGCAGCTGGCACTCATCAATGGCACCCAGGCCTGCGGGGTGCTGGGGCACTCCCAGGGCCCCTTTGCTGCTTGTCACTACACTGTGGCCCCAGAGCCCTTCCAGGAGTGAGTCAAGGGCCCAAGCCATGGGGGAAGGGCCTGGCTGGTTCTGGCTCTCAGCTGTGTCCACTTGAGTGACAGTGATGCCCTCCAGCTTGGCGGGGCCCACTCCCTTTCCCCTCCACAACCTCTGCCTGGGGTCTTTCTGTTCAGGCTGCAGGCCCCTTTCTCAACTCCCCATCCTGTCCCTGACGGTCCTCCTCCACCTCAGGCACTGTGTGGTGGATCTGTGCTCCACTCGGGACCCTGAAGAACAAGAGGAGCTCCGATGCCAGGTCCTCAGTGGGTACGCCATTCTCTGCCAGGAGACAGGGGCCAGCTTGGCTGACTGGCGGGAGCACACCCGCTGCGGTGAGGCACTGCCCCTGCCAGCCATTCCGCCCCTGCCCAATTGTTCTCCCACCCCAGGCTTCCCTCTTGGTTCCTCTGCCCCAATGCCTCAGCCCTTGATCACAGCAAGTTCGAGGCAGGGCCCCTTTCCAGCCCCACTGCTTCTGTGCCCTTCCTAGCAGCCTCCTCCTGCCCGCTCCTCCTGTTGGACACTCTAGCTTTGCTTATCTAGTTCCTGTGAACATTTACATGGCCCAACTCTCAGGTGAAGCTAGGCTGCTCATTCTGACTCCCCAGCCTCCAGGCAATTCTGTGGTGTTGGGGTGACCCTGTGCCCTCTCTTCCACCTTGGGTCCTGGTCCCCAAGCCTGTTTGCTAGCCCCAGCTTCTGACCATGCCTCTGTCCCCACAGCCATGGCATGTCCAGCCAATACCATATATCAGAGCTGCATGACACCCTGCCCAGTGACCTGTGCCAACCTGGCGGCCCCTGGAGAATGTGAGGGCCCCTGCGTGGAGGGCTGTGCCAGCCTCCCAGGCTATGCCTACAGCAGCACCCAGAGCCTCCCCCTGGCCAACTGTGGCTGCACCACCAACGGTGTCTACTACCAGGTCTGGGCTGGCAGTGGGAGCCCTGGGGAGCTGAGTGCAGGCGAAGCAGAGCTCCACCGACCCTGGCCCTTCCTTTCTAGCTGGGAGACAGCTTCGTGGCTGAGGACTGCTCTCTGCACTGCACCTGCACCCACTCACAGGCCCTGCTGTGTAAGCCCTTCAGCTGCAGTGCCGGGGAGATCTGCACTCTGGCCAACCTCACTTGGGGCTGCTTCCGGGGTAAGCCTGGGTGGGCCCCTCTTGCTCTAAGCTGTCCCAAGACCCTGGGAAAAAGCCCCTGGGCCATAGTCATTCTGTTCTCTGCCTGGGATTCCTGCATTGATGTCAGGAAAGGACTTACTCCTGTTACCTGCCAGCCTTAGCCCAGGGTCTCCCACAGTCCTGGCCTCCAATGCCTGATGTGAAGCACAAAAACCTCATTTGATGGGTAGCGAAAGGGGAGTTCAAGCTAGGCATGGTGGCATAGGCCCATAATCCCTGCACTCTCGGACGCTGAGGCAGGAGGCTCACAATTTTAAGTCTAGCCTGGGCAATTTAGCAACTTAGTGAAACCCTGTCTTAAATTTAAAAATCAAAAAAAGTTTGAGAATGGGCTCAGTTCAGTAGCCATGGGTTTCATCCCCAGTACCTTATAAAAAGGGAGAGAGGTGAGGAAATTTCCCCAGAGTTTAGCCTATAGTGGGGTTGGGGCTAGGATTGTGGGCCTGACCTCCAGCCAGGCTCTGGTATTCCTTGATTTCCTCCTTGGGGTCCAGACCCCAGCTGGGTAGCTCACGTGCTGAGTGTCAACCAGGACCATCACCCTCCTTCCTGCAGAAAGTCCTTGTCTGCAGAACCCATGTCAGAATGACGGTCGGTGTCAGGAGCAGGGATCCAGCTTCACCTGCGAGTGTGAACTTGGCTACGGGGGAGACCTCTGCACAGAGCCTCACGATGTCCCGCTCACCAGAGAGAAAGGTAAGGGCCACATCCTGGTCTGCAGCCACTGACAAGTGGCCCAGAATTACTCTCTAGGTATAATATTAACACCTATTATAAAATCTGTTCTAGATATCTATTATGTAGAGACATAATTACATTATAACATGTTTAGTAGATATACAATTTTCTGTTCATGTTATTATAACATATAACACTTACATTACAGGGATCATAAGTTAAAATGATCCCTAGAGCTAGGTGTGGCAGCACATGCCTATAATCCTACCATTCTGGGAGGCTGAAGTAGGAGGATGGTAAATTCAAGCCCAGTCAGGGCAATTTAGTAAGATTCTGTTTCAAAATCCAAAGAAATAAAAATTTACAAAAGGCTAGACAAATAGCCCAATGCAAAGGCCCCTGGGCTCAATTCTTTTTTTTTTTTTTTTTTTTTTTTTTTGTACTGGGGATTGAACTCAGGGCCCTACGCTTGCCAGGCAAGTGCTTATTCTACTAAGCCATCTCCCCAGCCCCCTGGGCTCAATTCTCAGTGCAAAACAAACAAACGAACAAACAAAAAAGGCTGAGCATGGTGGTGCACACCTGTGATCCCAGCATTTGGGAAGCTGAGGCAGGAGGATCCCTGCAAGTTCAAGAACAGCTTCTGGGGGCTGGAGAGATGGCTCAGTGGTCTAAAGCACCTACTTG